GTGAAGTAGTGGCTCACAATCCTGTATTAATAAGTTTACGTATAGTGTAATGAAATCTCTTTTTCTTGTAACTGTATGTATTATCCTTTCATAGTGTTTACATAGCATAAAAATAATTATACTTTTAAATAATTATTTTTATTGTCCCAAAGAGGGTAAAATAGTGTAAATATTCCATAAACTATACCTATTATAGTTTGTAAAAGTGTTTCGTTGAACTAGTGAATCCTTTGTATGCTATTATCAATTTACCCTGATAATAAATTGAAATGAAATAATTATATATGTATGTTTATATACTTATTTCCTTTTTGATCAACACGTTACAAAATTAAAGTTTTATTGTATCAAATTTGTACCCATATGTATATTTATACTTAGTAAAAATATAAAAGTAACGATTTGTATATTAACACAAATTTTCTTGTGTTTTAATTTTATCCCCCCCCCCCCTAAAACATATAAAAATCGTGAAAACTGTAGGGGTATGAACTCACCTCGGGTGTGTTCTTGGATGGATAACGAAGTGAGTGGCGATAATCTTCAAGTTAGAACATGTGAACATAGTCATATCCTAATTTGTTTTAAACACATAATAATATGTGTAAATTAGATAAACTAATATGTAAGTGTTATAAAAACACTAGATTATAAAAGGAACTTACAATAATCCTTAAGAATTAGTTTTGAGCAAATGGTTTCCTGGGAAAACTTTGAAGGTGTTCTTGGGAAAGATTTGAAGATTTGAAGGTGTTCTAGGAACTGTATGAAGGTTTGATGATGCTCTATGAACGTTGAGAGGTAAATCTATGCGAGATAATGAAGTGAAATTCAGAAATGAGGTGTGATTGGTTTAGTATATAAATGGGGGGTAAGAATGAGGTGACATGTGCATTGGAATGTGTATTTTATCAGTTTGGAAGGTGTGCCACCGCTTAGAATTAGTAATTTCGGTTTATCTTCCAACCGAGAACCCTTGATTTCGGTGTAAAAGTCCAACCGAGAACTAGGGTCTTCGGTCTCAAGGGGGGTTCTCAGAGTAGAGTGTTCTCGATCCAAGTGGTTCTCAGTTCAAATGGTTCTCAGTTCAAATGGTTCTCGACCTAAGGGTGTTCTCAGATCAATGCCAAGATTTCGGTCTTGGTGCTTTTTGATTCCTAAAACCAAAAACTTCCAAAGCAAGATGAATTTTTATGATTTAATTTTAATTGTTTAACTTTTGTTTGACATAGTTGACTTGCTTTGACTTTTATTGACCCAAAATAACTGGTTGTTACATTATCCCCCCGTTAGACGGAATTTCGTCCCAAAATTATTTCTAAAGTGGGCACTCATGAACTAGGGAAGAGATGCGGGTATTTTTGTTTCATCTGATCTTCTCGTTCGCAAGTGAATTTAGGTCCTCGCCTGGCGTTCCTGCCGACCTTCACTATTGGTATACGACTTTGTTTCGTTCTCTTGATTTCCATGTTCATGATTTCCACATGTTCCTCTACGAAGTGTAGACTCTCGTTTATCTCGATTTTATCGAGTGGGATTACAAGAGTCTCTTTGGATATACACTTCTTTAGATTAGACACGTGGAAAGTGGTATGTATGTTACTGAGTTCCTGTGGTAGTTGAAGTTTATAAGCCACCGGGCCGATTCTAGAAAGAATCTCAAATGGCCTGATATATCTCAGATTTACTTTTCCATGCTTTCCGAAACGTATCATTCCTTTCCAGGGTGAGACCTTTAACGGAACATGGTTACCAACCTGGAACTACAAGGGCTTTCGCCGTTTATCCGTATAACACTTTTGTCAGTCCCTAGATGCTTTCAGTCGTTCCTGGATTTGGACGATATTTTCTATTGTATCCCCTATGATCTCAGGGCCGGTGAGAGTCCTGTCAGGAACTTGACTCCTTGCGAGCGGTGTGTCACCCAATTCAGCTCAACATAGAGGGGATTTTCACTTACGACCTTAGAGGGCTTCGAATGGCATGAATTTGATGCTAGTATGATAGCTGTTATTATATGAGAATTAGATGAGTGGTAAATGGGTATCCCAAACTTTACTAAAGTCTATCATACAAGCTCTCAACATGTCTTCCAGCATCTGAATTTTTCTCTCGCTTTGGCTATCAGTTTGGGGATGGTACGTTGTATTCATGTCGATTTTGGTTCCCAAGGACTTTTGTAGTGATTGCCAAAATCGTGAGGTAAATCTATTATCTCTGTCGGGGATAATGGATATTGGTACACCATGCAATCGTACGATCTATTCAGTATACGTCCTAGTTAACTTCTCCATCTTGTCGTTCTCTTTTATTAGTAGTAAGTGCGAGGATTTGGTTAACCTCTCAACGATTACCCAAATGGTGTTATGACCACCCGTTGTCTTGGGCAACTTGGTTGTGAAATCCATGGTTATCTACTCCTACTTCCACTTGGGTATTTCTGGTTGTTGTAGTAATCCGAAGGCTTCTGGCATTCTACCTTGACTTTGGCGCAAGTCAGGCACTTGCCCACATAGGTAGCGATTTTCGCCATCATGTTTGGCCACCAATAAAGTTTCTTGAGGTCCAGGTACATCTTGTCTGAGCCGGGATGAATAGAGTATCTAGTCTTGTGAGCATCATTCATGACTATGTCTCTGTACCCACCGAACTTCGGTGTCCAGATCCGATTCATGAGGTAACGAACTCCATCATTCTTAACTTCCATGTCTTTATCCATTCCTCTCAAGGCTTCACCTGCCACGTTTTTAGGTTTCAAGGCTTCCAGATCAGCCTCTTTGATCCGCATGGACAGGTACGAATGGATAGTCATGGTTAATAACTTTACTCGGCGTCCCGAGTATTCTTTTCGACTAAGGGCATCTGCTACTATGTTGGGCTTGCATGGATGATAGCGAATCTCACATTCGTAATCATTTAGTAGTTCTACCCGTCGTCGCTGCCTCATCTTGAGTTCCTTTTGATCGAAAATGTGCTGGAGGCTCTTATGATCCGTGAAGATTGTGCACTTTGTACTATAGAGGTAGTTCCTCCAAATCTTCAGATCGAATACTACTACTCCCAGCTCGAGGTCATCTGTGGTATAGTTGACCGCATGGTTCTTAAGTTATCTCGAGGCATAGGAAATGACCTTTCCACGTTGCATAGGAACACAACCTAGCCCTTGCTTGGATACATCGTAATAGACTACAAAACTTCCCGTCCATTCTGGGAGGGAGAAGATAGGGGCGCTGCATAGGGCTCGCTTTAGTGTCTGGAAAGCAGCTTCTTGTTTCTCCTCCCAGTTGGAAGTTACACCCTTCTAAGTCAATGTGGTGAGTGGCTTTGCGATCTTGGAAAAGTTTTGTATGAACCTCCTGTAGTAGCCAGCGAGGTCTAAGAATTGATGAATTTCAGTTGGACTTCTTGGTGTCACCTAGTTTTCGATTGCCTACTTTTGATTCAATTGTTTCATAGTTGTAATGCTTATCAGGATCACCCTTGTTCATTCCCAGTGGATCATTTGCACGAAGTCGCATAATGCTTTGCACTATTCGTAACTTTTCAACCTTAGCCTCTGCTTCAGCTTTCTTCTCCTCCTTCGATTTTTCGATCACAATAGTTTTTCCCTTGTCTTTGATCGAAGAGCCATCAACATTTTCCTTTGGCTTCGAACTACTACCACTTCCAGCAGATGAACCAATAACAATTCCTTTCGAACTTGGCCTTGTAATTGGTATTATGGTAATAAATGCTGAAGTAACTGGCCCAACAGATGAAAATATTGGATTTGCTGTTGGAACCTATAACGAAAACACTTTGCCAATCGTTTTCACTTCTTCATGCGAAACCCCACTAACTTTCACATCACCAACCTTCTTTTCTCCCCATTGCACCCCTGTGCTAACAAGTAGGGCATATGTTGGTATGAGATTCAAGATTCTAGACAAAGGGGCTATGTGCTTATGCAAGACAGCTTCGAATTGTGTAAACTTCTGAGATAGGAATTCGGGAGATATGATCGAAGATGAAACAGGCTTAACATATAAGTCTTTCAGCTCCTTCAGTAATGTGATAACCTCCACGAAACTCCGACTGTCATTTTTAGAAAGTTGAGTAATTTGAGGACTCAAACTTTCATACAATTTCATGAATTTTGTGACAGCATCACAAATGATGTCCATCTTTTGATTGAGAGAGGCATAATCTTTCTCAACAACAACAATCTCTTTTACCATGTCTTCACGAAGTTCTTGAAGTTTCAAATTGACATCTTCACGCACTTGCTTCACATCTTTAACAAATAGGACATGTCTTTCTTTAGCTACCGTTCGTAAATCTTGAACTTCACCCAGAAAATTCGAAGATTGAGACTTCATTCGTAATTCATTAGACTTATCATTTTGATCCATCTTCTCCATTAATCGAGATTCAGATTCAGAAACCAAACCAGAACATTTAGTAAGCATTCTGGCCTCAACAGCTTTCAGCATGCCATCTATTTCGAAACTGGAGACAGACTGACTTCCTCCCATGTCAGCTTGAGACTGAATTATTGAATTCAATTTCCTATTCAGAATCTTGAATTGCTTCATTGACATCAACATGTGGTCAGGGAATTTCTCTTCCTCATCATGAAATTCCAGATCTTCTAAAGTTCCCCCAAAACCTCCTTCATCTGTGTCAGTTTCCGGTTCACCAACTTCTTAGGGTGGATCAGTGGATTGAGATGAGAAAAGTGTTGTAAATGGATTCTTCATCACATGCTCAAACGTAGGTGAGTGTGTGATGTTCGAAACAGAAATGTTGTAGGGTGGCAAAGAGACAGTAGTATCCACTTGAGAAAAAATAGGAGTACCTTGTGTGGACAATGGAGGCTCAGTAGTCGAAACTCCTTCACCCATATTGACATTTACATCCGTATCAGATACGTATGTAGTGATGTCTGAAGTTCGAACCTCCTCAATGATTGACTCGGTTAACGAAACTTCGGGTGGTATGACCTCAGTCTTCTCAGGAGTTCATTTAGGAAGAATAGTTTCGGGTGTCTCAGGAACTATCTCCTCTTCGGACGACTCCTCTTGTATAACCAACTTTCGTTTCTTTTTCGTCTTCTTTGAAATATGTTTAGCCAGGTCTTCAGCTCTTCGTTTCTTTGATGAAGGCGAAACAGGAATTGGAACCTCACGAATAAGTACCCCTTGATGAGTAATTTGTGGTTTATGAACATTTGAAGGAGAAAATCGAGAAGATCCATCTTTAGACTTTCGTGGACCACGAGCTATGTGCTTTAGTCTTTGAAAAACACCAGAATTTGATGGAATGGTTTCCTTGACATGATCATCAGTAAGAGGTTCCACAGGCTCGATCACAACAGTCGAAACTTGTTCTTCTGGCTTCGTCTGTTTCTGTGGTGACTTCTTTTGCTTGGATTCGTGCACACGCTTCTCAGGAGTAGCCTTTGCATCATTCTTCGAACGTTTTGGTTTCTTCGAAGGACCAGCATCTTCTTTAGACAATAACCTTCCAGTTTCATCATCAAGGTTGATTGTCTTCAAATACTTAACCAACATCGAATTTGTTGGCTCAACCCTCTTCAACATTGCATCAGGGATTCTGGCAATGTGTGTGAACACCTCGGCATCATCAGAAACTTACTTTGGGAAGTGATACTTCATGAACTCAGCTTTCTCTTCATTAGCAGGCACCTCAATCCCTTCTTTGTCATAAAAATAACCAAGGATCAAACTCCAGTACCTGGCACACGAAATGCCTTGGACAACATTCGTGTTTTAAACACTCTTCTGAAATTCCTTCCACAGCTGTGTAGAGTAATCAATATAAATATCATAGTACAATCCTATACAATCACATAAACCTCCATTCGAACTTTATCCAATCCAACACCGCGACCAGTCAAGCAGCGTAGAAAGATTCTGAACAGAAAATTCCAAACAGTTGGAAGACCTGACTTCTTGAAATCACTGATCTTGGTGAGTGGGGGTTGATGACCCATCTCATTAAACATGTGGATTGTTTGAGCAGAAGAAAGATCAATATATAATGTAGAATTAGGGATATCAAGAATCTGACAAAAGATCTTCTTGGACAATCGTATTTTCTTGTCATTCACCAGTTGAAAAGTACTGATATCCATAGCTTTGCTGTAAGTAGCACTGGATCCTTCTTGTGAAAGCCAAGAAAGAGGAACATCAAACGAGTTGAAAAATGCCTCTGAAAGAACAGAATTCTTCAATGAAATGATTAGCATCTTCAACTCTTCAGGATACAGAGAAACATCCCCTTAAACTTGATAATTCGTGCTTTGAATCTTCATAATTGGTTGAGAAGTGATGTCTTCAGTTGTTCGGGATGTAGAATCAACACCAGCCATGATTAGGGTTTTGAAGATTTGAAGAATAGAGAGAATTTGGGAATTTTTCTTTTGTGAGCGTAAACGGACAAAGAACCCTTGAATCCCCTTTTATATGTAACCCTGGAATTTGAATTTAACGCGGGATAAGCATTAAGTGAGATCTGACGTAGCACCTTGAAAGTCGTACCAGTCTGCCGATAAAGTTGCCATGCGTCAAAAAGTAACTGTCACATCGCCTTGAAAGTCGGACTGAATACAAAACATCTCATCAGACAGTCTGTTCGTGTCACCCCATAGAATAGTAACCGTCACCAACCTTCGGATGGAGGTAAAGCTCTTTCGTCTTTGGGTTTAGAGACGAAGTCATTTGCTAGACGTTCGAAATCATCAGCCTGAGTTGGTAGTACTCAGAGCCTCAAGGATTTCGTGAGTGCAGTGTGCCAAAGAAAAGATACGAAGCAAATTAACGAAAATATTGATCTGTGATGTCGAAAAACAGATTTTTGACACAAAAGCAGATAAACCCTGGGCAATGGTTGCTTCGTTAATTATCAAAAGAGATAATCAACTGCTTATGTATGTTCCCATGAATTTCAATCGAATACTTATAGAGAAGTATCGAATGCTTCTTTTGCAAGGCTTTGTGGGTGGTTTACAATTTCGTTACATATTAAACTAAACATAAGGTGAGTAATTGTAAACGAAATTACCTGTTTGACCAGTGTAGTCAGGGACAAGTATTCTTTGAATTATTTTGCAAGTGACTTGGAATTCAAATGAATCTCACACGGAAATTATATTCATAAAAAAATTTATATTGGATCCTGTTGGGTAACAAACATCGTGGGCTTCGATAGTTTGATCAAGACCACACATAAGAAATGAATATGATATGGAGTTTCGAAAGCGGTACTGAAACAAATATGATATGGAGTTTCGAAAGCGGTACTGAATATGATATAAGGGTTCGAAAGATTGGGTTTCACTTCCATCACGGTCTCATGATGTTAGATCATTAACACATATTTTTGACATGCCTAAGTCATGATTGGTTTAATCGATGACCTCTCGGACATATGTCATTGTGTGTGAAATGTGTTAGAACTTTGTGATGAAAAAGATTGGTTTTCAGAAACGAATTGTACCTCTGTTATTTTAGACAAAATAGACAACTCTTAACTCATGTGAGAAGAGTAAGGTAGCTCAATTGACTAATGTGAATATACGCCTGACTTGGGAAGAAATTTTCGTATGAAAATTTTCATTAAGGCTTTCGTAAACACACATTGAGTCTATGGATGCTTGGGTCGACATGCTGCAGCATGCTTCTAGGGACAGTCTAACTACTACATAGTTGTCAAAATTGTACCTTCCCATAGAAACGCAAGCATGACCATTGAAAAACTTTCGCGTAATCTGCACAAAGGAAAGACAAAGAAAATAACAAATTTTTTTTTGATATTTTTGATTTTTCAAATATAAAGAAAATATTTTTGTGTTTTTGTGAATTTTTAAAAAAAGAAAACAATGAACAAAAGAAAATCTTTTTGGAATTTTTGGTTTTCCGAAAATAAAACGACAAAACAAAAATAAAATCTTTTTGTAGTTTTTGATTTTTCGAAAAATAAAGCTGAGATACAAATTTACGAAAAACATTTTTACAAACATACGAAGATTTGTAAACTAACGAAAATTTGACAACTAACGAAACTTTGTACCACATATCCATCATGCATATTGTCGAATTCGAAGCGTGTCGAAGCGTTGACTATGAACAGTAACCGCTGAATAAAGTATTACTGCCTCTGAATCGACCCATTTATATAACACCCCTTTGTTATACATTCGAAATCATTCCTGGAACTGAACTCGCTTCGATCATTCCCAAACCTGTCAAAATTCGAACAAATGATTTTTCATCCAAAGCTTTTGTAAAAATATCAGCAAGCTAATCAGTTGTTTTTACAAAATGGACTTCAATGTTGTCATCTTCCACATGATCTTTGATAAAATGATAATGAAGAGCAATACGTTATGTTTTCGAATGTTGTACTGGATTATGACAAATGCGTATAGCACTTTGTGAGTCACAGTACAATGGAATCTTTTTCATATTCACAGCATAATATCGCAACTGAATCCGGATCCAAATAATTTGTGAAGTACAAGCAGCAACTGCAACATATTCAGCTTCAGCAGTGGAAATCGAAACACACGTCTTCTTCTTCGACTGCCAACTCACTAACTTTCCATCCAGAAATTGACATCCACCACTTGTGCTTTTTCGATCCAAAGTACACCCTCCTAGATCTGCATCTGAAAATGCCTGAATGAGAAATCCTGTTTTCGAAGGATACCACAATCCTAACCAAATCGTTCCCTTGAGATAACGAAAGATATTCTTCACAGCAGTTAAATGAGGTTCTCGAGGATTCGCTTGATACCTAGCACAATTACATACAGAAAACATGATATCATGTCTACTTGCAGTAAGATAAAGCAATGAACCTATCATGCTCCTGGATAAGGTAAGATCAACCGCAGGCGTTTCTAACGAAGGTGATAGCCTTATGCCAACCGACATTGGTACCCTTAACTTCGTGCTATTTGTCATTCCAAACTTTTCGAGCAAATTCCTTGTGTATTTTTCCTGATTGATGAAAATGCCTTCTCTGCTTTGATAAATATTTAAGCCAAGAAAATTAGTGATTTTACCCATCATGCTCATTTCAAATTGGCTTTTCATCAAATTTTTGAATTCATTAGAAAAAGCAGGGTCAGTAGAGCCAAAAATAATATCGTCGACATAAATTTGAACAAGCATTAGATGATTCCCAACTTTCTTTCGAAATAACGCGGGGTTAACTGATCCTTGTTTAAATTTTGACTGTTTTAAGAAACCGGTAAGAGTTGCATACCATGCTCTTGGTGCTTGTTTTAACCCATATACAACTTTATCTAAAATGTATACATGATCAGGATGCATTTCATTTACGAAACCTAGAGGTTGTTCAACGTAAACAGTTTCTTCGAGTTCTCCATTGAGAAAAGCACATTTCACATCCATTTGATAGACATCGAAATCCTTATAAGCTGTATAAGCTAAAAATATTCGAACAGCCTCGAGTCTTGCAACAGGGGAAAAGGTTTCTTCATAATCAATACCTTCTTGTTGTGAATATCCTTTTACGACTAATCGTGCTTTATTTCGTACAATATTTCCATCTTTGTTGGTTTTGTTTTTGAAAATCCATTTTAACCCGACAATCGAAACATTTTCAGGTTTAGGAATTAATCTCCAAACCTTGTTTCTTTCGAATTCAGCCAGTTCGGATTGCATTGCAAGAACCCAATCTGAGTATTCCATTCCAACCTTAACTGTCTTTGGTTCAATTTTAGATATGAAAACATTGAACATGCATAATTCTTGATGAGTATTTAATATCTCATTCTTTGCACGAATATGAGCTCTTGTTAACACTCCATCTTTAGGATTCCCAATGACTTGATCTTTCGGATGAGTTTTTGTCCATTTCTCTAATGGTGGATATGCTGGATCAAATTCTAAAGGTGCATCTTTGTACATCTCTTCATTTTCAGATCCTGCAACAGAAAGATTATCATTTATTTCGTGAAATTCATCATTTTGATCAAGACTTATCATATTGTCATCATTATATCTACTTTCGACAGAATTATCATTCTGATACTCCCCCTCAACAAGATGCTCCCCCTCAACATCTTCAACCATTCTCCTATTCTCCCCCTCGAAAGAATGCACCCCCTCAACCAGAGTATTCGAATCCAAGTGGTCCCCCTCCACTGGATTATTATGCATACTTTTGCCAACTTCTGGATAATTCGTTGTTGAAATCCTATCAAAATATTTTGAGTGGGTTCGGAGTCATCAATATTCTTCAACAATTCAGATTGTTGGTTATCATTTGCACGAACTTTAGCATCCACAGCCCTGTCAGGAATACCTAAAATTAAATCATAATCAAAATCAGATGAACTCACAACTTCAGAGTCATTTGTTGATTCATTAATAATTGGCTTTTGTTCGAATTGTTTTTCATCTTGTTTGACATAATAGTCATCAAAAGTAAGATTAAATGTCTCTTCGACTTTTCGTGTGCGCTTGTTTAATACTTTGTATGCCACCAAATTATGCGAATATCTCAAAAAGATTCCTTC